CCCCCCAATAAGGGTCCCTGACTCCGCCGTGCCAGCCCTCCCCCCACCCCTGCTCGGCCCCTGCAAGCAACACCCGCACTCGGGGCCAGGGGCAGCACCTCCTTCAGTGGCGGGGGCCGCGCCCCGGGCTGGGGGCGATGCCCCAGCGCTGCAGCCACGTCCCTGCAGCACCCCCACGCCAGGGGAGGGTGGATGCAGGGCAGGCAGGCACACGGCTGGGCAGCGCCACGGCCCAAGCGTGCTGGTCCACAGCAGACATGGGCGGGCTCCTGCACCACGTACCCCTCTCCCACCCCAACGAGTGTCCACTCTTCCAGCGTCCGTCCCAGCCCAGCTCTGCTGCCCGTGGAGCGGGCTCGGCCCCACGCCGGCAGCACCAGGTCCAAGCCCAAGCAGAAAGCGTCCCCAATGGAGAGTGTCCCGGCTGGCTTGGGCAGCTTGGCCCTCACGCCTTGGTCTCGGTCATGGCCTCCATCATGCGGGCGCTGCTGGTGATCGCCGTAGTCAGGAATATGAACCTGAACCCTGCAAAACCCAAGTGCAGGAGGAACGTGGGTGAGGCCATGGGGCAGCAGGGTGGCCGCCGCACCACTGCTGAGGCAGGGCCGAGTTACCTGCACGCGTGTCCCAGCGCTGCCCCAGCCACGGCTTGGACCCTCCTCCCAGGGGGAAGCAGCAGCAGGCCCCCACCCGTGCTCGATACCCCCAAGCAGAGGCAGGACAGTGTTTGCTGTGGGCTTGGAAACTCCTCCCAGACCCCAAGACACAGGATGAATTTCAGTGCAGGCAAGTGCAAAGGGCTGCAACCCCAGAGGAATAACCAAAAACACCAATACGAACCGGGGGACACCCGGCCGGATGGCAGCTCTGTGGAAAAGGACCTGGGAGTCCTGGTAGAGCACAGACTCAACAGGAGTCTGCAGTGTGATACAGCCATTGGTGGTGGACGGGTCATTTTCGACCTGGAGGGCTGTGGGCAGTGGGGTCCCCCAGGGCTCGGTCCTCGGGCCCGCGCTGTTCAACAGCTTCATCAGTGACTTAGACGAGGGGGTAAAAAGCACCCTGTTCAAATACACAGATGACACTAAGATGGGGGGGGATGGAGGCGTGCTAGAAGGGAGGGACAGGCTGCAATTGGACCTGGACAGGTTACAGGGGTGGGCGGATGAGAACAGGATGGGTTTCAACACTGACAAGTGCAAGGTGCTGCACCTGGGGAGGAAGAACCAGCAGCAGACCTACAGGCTGGGGAACTCCCTTCTCGTCAGTGCAGAGGCAGAAAAGGATCTTGGAGTCATCATTGATGCCACAATGAACATGGGCCGACAATGTGGGGACGCAGTCAGGAAGGCCAACCACACCTTGTCGTGCATCCACAGATGCATCTCGAGCAGGGCCAAGGAGGTGATCCTCCCCCTCTACGCGGCCCTGGTCAGGCTGCAGGTGGAGTACTGCATCCAGGTCTGGGCGCCGCACTTCAGGAGGGATGTGGACAACATGGAGAGGGTCCAGAGGAGGCCACTCGCATGATCAGAGGGCAGCAGGGCAGGCCCTACGAGGAGAGGCTACGGGACCTGAACCTGTTCAGCCTCCACAAGAGAAGGCTGAGGGGGGATCTAGTGGCCGTTTACAAACTAGTCAGAGGGGACCAGCAGGCATTGGGGGAGTCCCTGTTCCCTCGAGCACTCCCACTCCCAGGAGTGACTAGAAATAATGGTCACAAGCTGGCAGAGGGTAGATTCAGACTAGACATCGGGAGGTGCTACTTCACTGTCAGGGCGGCTAGGATCTGGAACCAACTTCCAAGAGAAGTGGTGCTGGCTCCTACCCTGGGGGTCTTTAAGAGGAGGTTAGATGAACATCTAGCCGGGGTCGTTTGACCCCAGTGCTCTTTCCTGCCAGGGCAGGGGTTGGACTTGATGATCTGCTCAGGTCCCTTCCGACCCTACCTCCTACAAAACTATGAAAAGGCCAAGGCGGTTTTGGCTGCATCAACAGAAACATGAGGTGCAAGACACAGGAGGTGACTGTGCCTCTCTACTTGGCACTAGTCAGGCCTCATCTGGACACTTTTAAAACATGGAGCCAGAATTTTACACAAGCACAGAGAATGCAACACTTGTGATGAAGGGCTGGGAAAGCAAGTCATACGAGGGGAGGCTGCTGGGCATGTTCAGCTTGCAGAAAAGGTGCTGACAAGGGGCAATGAGAGCAGCCTAAGACTACTCGAAGGGCTGCTGTAGAGAAGAGGAAAAGCATGTTTTCCCTCTTGCTGCAGAGACGAGGATGCGGAACAATGGCTTGAACTTGCCGCAGACTAAATTTAGACTGGATATTTGGAAAACTTCTTTGCTGAGAACAGCGAGGCAGTGGATTTTTGCCTTCCTCTGCAGCTGGGGGCATGGCCTCTACCCAAGATCTCTTGTGCGTATGTTGACATTTCATGGAAGCAGGACGTTGGCTGGCGCAGTCCCCCTGCTTTGCCTGGGGCATGATTGGTGCAACGTCTGTGTTGTGTCAGGGTTGAGGGTAGTCTTACATAGCGTTCAGATGATGAAGTGGTCTGGGCTGGTTTGGACAGGGCTGATTGTGCCTCAGGCAAGGGGTTGGACTAAACGTGATCTCTGGAGCTCCCTTCCAGCCTCACTTCTCCATGACTATGACTAGACACTGGGAGGGAGGGCTGGGTCCTTGGCCTCACCCCTTGCTAAGCTGCAGTCTGGGACAGTCTCTGCAACTGCAGGGGTCCAGGTTCAGTCAGCCCCAGTGAGCATGGCAACTGTGCACTGCCCTGCCAGGCCTATGCTCAGCTTTTTGCTGTAGGCCGCCCCCCGTTGGGTGCCTTGTGCTCCCACCCCTACTCCATCTATGCGCCCAAGGCCCCAGCACCCAGCTTGGCTGATACCTTTCTCCTTTCCCAGGAACCGCAGTGCAGAGATCTCAGAGAAGGTGCAGCCTCCCAGGAAGACGACCAGGATGACGCGCTGGGACTCCCAGGTGGGATTGTCCTCCACCGCCGGGTCTGGAAGGAGCAGAGGGTGAGGTGGAGAGGTCCTCCAGCTCCTGCCCAGCTCCTCAGCCCTAGGAGCAGGAGTTACCTGTAACGGCAAACTCGTTGCCATTCAGCAGGCGCACCACCTCCTCCAGGCCCAGCCAGCTCCTACGCTCCAGCACCTGAGAAGGGGAGAACAGCAGCACATGAACTGGCCACCTTGCCGGCTCCATCCAGGCTGAACAGACAAGCCACCACCACTGGGAAGTGGAGGCAGCACAGAGGGCAAGTGCCCCCAGCCTAGGTTCTTGGGCTCAGGCACAGGAACGTGCGACTGAAGCAACCAGGACACCTGTAGGACAGTGGTGGTCTGGACCCACAAGGACACCGTGGCAGCAGAAGCTCTTGATCAAGGCTGGCTGCTCAGAAGGCCGGACCACTCCTCTGGAGGACACGGGCTCCCTCACCTGCTCAATGATTTTGCAGCTCAGAGGGACGTAGGCCCCACTGAAGACGTAAGCCATATCCCGGGGCATCTTCAGGTTGTATTCGCCATCCACACGGGGGATCTGCAGGGATGGGACAAATGTGTCACCCTCCCACAGCAGGCACCGTGCCTCTGGGCAGCCTCTGAGTGCACACACCCACAATACCTGCCTACTCCCAGTGGTCCAGGCAGCAAGGCCCTGGTGCTTCAAACACTTGCCCCCACCCCCTTGGACATTAGGAAGAACTTCTTTAGTTAGAGTGGCCAGGGTCTGGAACGGGCTCCCAAGGGAGGTGGTGCTCTCCCCTACCCTGGGGGTCTTCAAGAGGAGGTTAGATGAGTATCTAGCTGGGGTCATCTAGCCCCAGCACTCTTTTCTGCTTATGCAGGGGACTCTTTCCTGCTTATGCAGGGGGTCGGACTCGATGATCTATTGAGGTCCCTTCCGACCCTAACATCTATGAATCTATGAACCCCCATGCTGTGGGTGCCAGCTCCACCAGGGCCTGGCCAAACCCCGTGCTGCTGCTTTCAACCATCAATGGTGCATGAGGAGAGCAGCACCCTGAAGTGCAGGCCCGTGGGACGAGTACTGAGCCCCAAATGACTTAACAGCTGACAGAAAGCCAAGCCCATCCTGGGCAGCAGCATGTCCAGGCACCCCTTCCACTGTGCATCCCTCCAGACGGAGCCCAGGGTGTAACATGGCTTCATGGGCCCCACCCAGTTTGGAGAGGAAGGAAGGGACCAAGCACCACCCTACCCAGGACACACTGGTTTGCCTCCTGTGACCCAGGCAGCCAGTGCAGGGCAGACAGGGCAGCCTGGCCATTCAGAGTCAGCAGCATTCACCCACTGCACTGAACTCTCCCCCGCCCCCAGCTGACAGGGGCTTGACGACCTCTACACATTCTTACCTGCTGACGCCTGTCCAGGTACAACTGCCTGGGTGATCCAGTCAGCCCACTTTCACCTCTCAGCAGTGTCCCCCCACCCCCTTCCCTGCCATACAACACCCCTTGGTTCTTTCAGCCCAGCCCTGGACAGCTCCTGCCTCTCTGAACCAGCCGGTCTCTAAGGTGCCACCCAGCCCTGCTTTCAGACTCCTTGGGCACACCATGTCTGTTCCCACTAGACTATGCCAGGGGCAGGGGCCGCGGCTCCGGAGAGGACATACCAAGCCCAGCTTCTTGCTTATGCCTCGGAAGTTGCTCTTCCTGGCCAGAGAATTAAATGCATCTGGGAGTTTTCCTGGAAAACAAGGCATGGGGGGGGGGGGGGGGGGGGGGGAGCCTCCCAGCTGAGCCGCTCCAGCTACAGCAAGTGCACCCACAGCACAGCTGCAGAGTGGGGCCCCTGGGAGGCTAGTGGCCCTGGACAAGAGCAGAGTGGCTCCCCCCATTCCCCACATCCTCCCCTGAGTCCCAGCAGTCCCAAGTAGCTCCCCAGTGAGGCAGGAGGCTGGAGCACAGCAGGAGCTGTGGTGGTTCACCAGGCCCCAGGACCCCTGCCCCCAGCTCAGAAGCTGGGTCCTTTCAGGCAGGGCCCCCCAAGGGTGCTGTGGGAGAAGCGCCCCTTACCTGCAGCCCGGTCAGTCACCAGTCTGCTGACTTTGCTCTCCACAGCGGTGAAGGTCTCTCCGGGGGACTGCTCCGTCAGGAGCCCAATGCGCTTGAGGTTATGGAAGGTCAGCAGGTGCTCGGGCCCATAGCTCTGGGGGCAGCAGGGTCAGGACAGGAGGGGACGTGAGCCAAGCCCTGCTCGGACACTGCTGGTTGCCACGTGGCCGTGCAGGCCTTGCACATGGCAGCCCTGGGAGCCTGTTCAGTGACAGGCGGAGCCAGCACTCCAGAAGGGGCAGGACACATTTTGGGCTCAGTCCTGGGGTGAATGTGGGGGAGACAGGTCCAGCACCCAGAGATGAAGCCAGCTGACGCCCCAGGTGGAACCCAGGAGCAGCAGCAGAGACAAGAGAGTATGGGGAGAGGGAGGATATGAAGGGCAGGAACAGGCTCTGCTGCTCCGGCTGCCTACAGACTCCCTGTACCCACCTACAGGCCCCCACCCCTGGACACCACTCCCAGCCCCTTCTCCCCCAGGCTCACCTGCAGGTACTGGGTTTTCAGGGAGCGGTAGTCCTTCGGGATCAGACCTAAGGGAGCATAACACATGCAGGAGCTGAATGCATGGCCCCAGCCCCGGCCCCAGCCCCGCACATCACTCACCATTCTCGGTTATGGACAGGAGGCACATCAGGCGCAGACTCTCAATGGGGGATACCTGCGCAGGGTGGGGGGCATGAGCAGATGTTGCCGTACAGCCTGCCCTGCCCCACCCCACGGGTTCCCCCAACACTCACCTGCCGGTCTATGTGCTCCTCGATGAAGCTGGCGCTCTCACGGATGTCAAAACCCTCCAGGAGGGCTGCAGGGTAAGGGAAAGTCATCCCTGCAGAGCCCTGCCCACAGCAGTGCTGCACAAAGCCGAGGCTGTTTCCTGCTCCCCACCCCTGCTGCCTTTCCCTCTCGGTGCCCTGGCGGCCCGTCCACCTCCCCCCAGCTGGCGCAGGACTGGGCTTGGGTCTGCTTGGGGGCTCCCCTGCCCCAAAGCACTGCCACCTCCCTGCTCCTGTTGCCCCCACGGTCTGGAATGGAGGCCAGGCACTGCTGTCACATGGGGGCAGTGAGGCTGAGGGCACCAGGGCAGAGGAAGTGAGGAATCAGGAGTGGCGGTGTATAGCCACCTGCCGGGAGCACCAGACTCACAGTGCTCGGTCTTGATCAGCTCCTGGAAATCCTGCTTGGTTTTCTTCTTCATAATGGACTCACAGGCACCGATGTCTACACAGCCCAGAGAGCAGAGTGGGCCCAGGGTAAGGGGGCCTGTGGGCTGCCAAAGGGCCCAGGCAGAGAAGCCCTCCCAGCCAGCACTCTCCCTTCTCCCTCCAGCAGCACGTGCTGCTCCCTCCTCGGGCGCTGCCCCATGTCCACTGCAGCCAGCGCTGCCTGGGTCTCAGAGCTCTCCACCTCCACCCCGCGGCGGGGCAGGGCAGGCACCTACGCAAGCTCAGCAGGCGGTGCTCCTGCTTCAACCCCTTCAGCTCTTGGGAGACAAAGTTCTTCATCTGCTTGATGTCCATCCCGCGCCGTCGCTGCAAGGAGACAGTGTCTGAGCCCTGGCCCTCAGCTCCAGCGCCATACCATCAGTAGGGCGCTTCCAGACAGGGCAGCAGGCCAGCAGACTGAGGGTGCAGTGTGCCAGCCCTGCATAGTGCCATGCGCTATGGGGAGGTGGCAGGCCAGCCCCGGGTGGCACTCACGTCGTACTGTGCCTGCAGGTTTCGTGCTTTCTGGCTCAGGAAGCCAAAGACGTTGGTGAAGTGCTCATTGCGGATCTCAGCAAACACCTGTGACAGGAGCAGCCCAAGTGGGGTCAGGCCACTGCCGAGGCCCAGCAGAGCCTGCACGACACATGGCTTTGGGGGTGGCTCTGTGTGGTCCAGGCCACACGCACCAGTACCATGCTGGGACATTCCCACCACTGGTCCGTGGCCAGCTCTGCATGGCACTGCCCCAGCAACACCCACAGCCAGGGGAGCCTCCCACTGTGGGCACCGGGACAAGACCAGCCAAGCATGGCTAGGCCCTGCCTGGGGAAGGTCCCAGGACCCTGCAGGGGGAAGGCTGTGAGGACAGGGTGGAGCAGAGGCCCTGCTTCTCTGATGCCACATCAGAATCAACCCCTGCTGTAGCCAAGCCATGCACCCCAGGCAGCACTGAGCCCTGCTCCGCCCATCAGGCCCCCCAGCCCCAGGTCAGGTTTCTACTGCCCAGGCCCTGCAGAGGCAAAGCCCATGAAAGCCACTGGGCCCAGGCAGGCAGGGGCAGGGTTGGGTGAGCTCAGGCATAGGCATAGGGTCACCTTGTCCTGCGCGTTGAGCAGCAGCTTGATGCTCCTGTCACCAGAGGTAATGTCTGGCCCGAAGTCCACGCTCCCTGCGAGAGCCATGCAGAGTCACCATCTGGGGCGCGCACCTTCTACTGGAACTGCCCAGCCCCAAGATTCCCTCGACCCAGGGCCGGGCAGCTCCAGTAGCCACAGAGTTCCTGGAGCACGGGTTTCTTAATGCAGTTTGAGAGTGTCACGGAAAATTTACGGTAGCGGATGCAGGTACTCATATACACATAGAATTTATTTTTTTTAAATATAACCACCAGTAACCACCCCTCTGCCTGCAGGATGAACACTGGGACATGGATTCGCACTTGCAGGTGCAGGACTGCACTCTTGGAGCGCCTGGAACTCGGGCAAGGTGGAGCTGCTGCTCTCTGGCTGGGCCCTGGGCCCACGTGCCTGGCAGTACCAGGAAAGCACAAGAGCTGGACAAGGCCCACAAAGCCAGGCCCCACATTGCACTAGCAAGTCCCGGGGCAGCCGGAAAGAGAAGGACTTGCCCAGCCATAGCTCGACGTGCCTGCTGTAGCCACACCCCAAGATTGCTGCCAGCCATGCCCCTGGGGCTGCCACCCTCCCACAGCCCCAGGTAGGAGCCTGCCCAGACCTTGCCCCCAAGCAGGGGCAGAGGAGGGAGTGTGGGAGCAGTGGCCCCCTCCCACGCGCAATCCCCAGACCTACCGCACTTGATGCGGAACGTGTCGTCCACCAGCCCCTCATACACCACCTGGGAGCAGAGCACCGTGACGTAGTCCATATCTGCAATGAGCCACAAGCCACAAGCTGTGCCTCCCTGCCCAGCACCCATGGGCCCCCCCAAGCTCTGTTGCCCCCCAGCAACTGCCCCCTTCCCCACCCCCAAAAGCCAGCTCCTCCCCAGCTGTGGGGGAGTGCAGTGCCCCTGGCTCTGGAGCTGAAGCCTAGGGCAGGGCTGGTCCCACGCCAGGACAACACCCCACCTCTGTCCACGAAGAAGATATGGCCAATCTCGGGCCGCCTGGCCTGGCTGTCGCCCTCAACTTCCTCCTCCAGCTCTCGCCACAATTCGTAGGCCATCTGCGGGCAAACGACCCAGCATCAGGGCCTGCAGGGCGCCAGCCCGATGGTCTCTGCCACAGGACCCACCCAGCCCTGAAACAGGGTTCCACATGTTGAAGGGCACTGAGAGCAGATCAGCAGCCCTGGGCTGCAGGATCTGGCCTGGGGCAGCCTCTCAGCGAGGAAAGCACAATGAGCCTGGAAATCTGCAGACGTGGGCAGCTGGACACAAAGGGTCCCTCACAACAACCCCAACAGAGCTGGTGCCAGGGCTGTCCAGGCTCCTCCAACTCGACAGGAGGCTGCCTGCATTCCTACTGGGAAGCACCCAGCGCCTCCCATGGAGGTGCCAGGCAGTCGGCCCTGCCCCTCTCCAGGATCCCTGCGTGGGGGCTGAAACCAGGCAGTTCCTTTCCTTTTCCATGAGCTCCTGTAAGGCTCCGCAGCCCAATGGGACTTATCGCCTGCCCCTGGCAGACACCTGTGGGCTGGGGGGTACAGGGAGCTCATCTGGGCCAGGGCAGGCAGTACCTTGGCGCAGCGGCCAATGCCGTAGGTCTTGGCAAAAGGCCCATAGAGGGAGCTCAACAGCTGCAGGGCTCGAGCCACGGTGTTGATCCAGCGATGGTCCCCCTCCTGCAAGGACAAGAGGCTGCAAGTCATCCTGGGGCAGAGCAGGAAAGAGTCTCTCTGGTCTTGGTTGGGGTGGGAA